GCTCAAATTCACTTTTCATCACAAACTAGTTCTTTCAGAATTATCAGTCAACCTTACACGATTATCATGCTCTTATCTTTGTGTTTGGTTTGTAAATTGTCTTCCATTTATTTTCCTTTTCAGTCATGAAGAATTAAGGAAACTATACTACTGCCTATGTTTGATTCTAGTCCTCAATACTTTAGCTAGTCCATAAATATTTAGTTAAATTGATTATATATTTCTTGGGGTTTTTTTGTAAATATTTTGGTGTCAACAGCTGAGAGAGTCCAGGTTAGTGTGCAGGTTAATGTCCTCTGTGTTGGAAAAATAAAAATTTGTTTGAATAGGAATACATCATGGTATTTACTTCCATGCTAGACTTCCCCTTGGAGAAAGAAAAACATAATTCCCAATTGCACCTTAGAGCACTTGCTTAGCATTGCCAGATAGCAGTATTTAGGAAAAAAAAAATCAATGAACAGACACTAAAAAGAATATTAAGATGCTTATTTTCAATTGCTTTTCTTATAAAAATATGAGGAACTTTCTAAATATTACGCCGTCAGAAAGCTACCAATACCTTCAATTATAAACTCGATTAAATGCATTTTTTTAATTAATAAGGTTTATAGGTGATTATACCTTTGTACCTGTGTATAAATAAAAACTCAATTCTATGCATTTATCTTAGAATTTCTATACTGTGCTATGTATCCCACTTCTGTCTTCATCATTATCAGGTACCCATGCTAAGGAAACAAATGCCATGCCAAACACCAAATAATTTTTAAGTCATTTCATAATGAATTACTTGAAATATTTCATGGAATCTGCCATTGAAAACATGTTCTTCTCTCACACCATTTTTATAAAAATAAAAGATAGAGGAGAAAGCCATTATGCAAAAAAAGATTCCTGTTTTACTCAAGAGAAATTAGTTCTGCAGCTCCAAGTATTTCCATATTTGAGAAACTAAGTATGAAAAATGAAATGGGTTTGACATGGCTGAAGAGAAAAATACTAACCTCTGTTTGAATTCCTGCAGCTTCTGCATTTTATTCCTCCTCGGTGAGCGCAGTTCTGAAGTTGACTTCACCAGATACTAGTCCCGGACTAGAGGAATAAGCCAAACATAATTTCATCCTAGGAAAGGATCAAAATAAACTACCAGCATTGTGTTTGATAGAGAGATGATACAGAATACTACTGAAAAACCTCTTTAACTGACATCCAGCACTTCAAAGAATCAGTCATTCTAATAGTATAGATCTAATTTAGAATATAGATGACATGGTTATTTTTTGGTTTGGCATGATATAAGAGCATCTAGTGAGACTGAACATCCTTCTTTTTCAAAGGCAGTTTCAGATCTCCAGTTCAACCTGCATCACCTAGAGAAAACTGTTTTTACAATGCTTTACAAGTTCTTACTGATACCAGTTTCGTGTTATGATCCCGAGGCAAGTGTACAGAAGAACATAATTCTGTATGAGTACTGTATACTGAGTAATTACATAATACTAATGTAATCAAGATTTGACATTCTAACAAGTGAAAAATCCATCTTAATAATTTGTCCACCAAGTATTGCTGCCTCACTATTATATAATGAAGCAAAGATTTCTCTCTTTTCCTGGATCCTTTCCAATTAGTTGTGATATTTTCTGTATCTCCCAAACCCTTCAGGTAGGAAGAGTGCCTCAGTACAGCAGTGCCTTTGGACTGCAGAATGTTACTTTTCAGTCTTTCATACATTTATAAAAAAATAAAAACTAAACCAAACCACAGTGGTAATGAACCTGTCATCTCTGATATCCTTCTAAGATATTTCTTTAATTAATTTTTCCTTTCATTTTTCTCCTCTGCAGTATTTCTACTTTGGTGCCTCTGTCCCCACTTGAAAACTAACATATTTTCACAAAAAAATACAAATTTAAACTTAAAATTCATGGATCTGCTTTAAAGAAATGCACAGAAGGTTATATTTCAAATCATTGGGGAAATTATACTTGTAATGTTTTCTGGTAAAATGACTGCTAAAAGCAGGATTACATATCATAGAAATAATTTATATATGTCTATGTTAATCCATTTTAGCATGACTTACTCCTCCATAGTTCTAAGGCAATAGATGTGCCTAAGAAGGAAAGGAATTTCATGCATTATTATATGCAAAACTTATTTCATGCATTTTGCTTCTCCATGCCAGTTGCAAGGAAAAGACAGGGTTGCACACGGAAGGCCAGGTGTTAGAGCAAACCATTTTTTACTGATGACAATTCCATTCTCTAATAGCTCTTACAATGTCTTATGGAATCTTAATATTAGACATGAAGTCAATAGACCACGTCAGCTAAAAATCTCTTTATTAAGCCAAAAGACAATTTACTTGAAATATTTTTCAGCTAAGTAGTTACAACAAAAAGTATTCATATTCAGACAGGTTTGTAATTCAAAGCATTGCTAGAGTAATTCAGGTTAGGTGAGACCTTAGGGGGCCTCTGGACCAACCTTCTGCCTCAAACAGGCTCAGCTGTGAGGCCAGGTTGTGTCTGGTTAGGGCTGGAAAAGCTCCAGTGATGGAGGCAGCACAGCTTCCCCTGGCAGCCTGCTGCTTCTCTGCCCGACTGTCCTCATGGAGAAAGGTTTTCCTTACATGCGGATTGAACCTCCCTTGTTTCCATCTATGCCACTGTCATAAATCCTTCTGCCGTGCACTGCTACAAGGCTCCATCTTCTTGATAACCCCCTTGTAGGTATCAGCACATTGCTGTTGGATCCCCCCCTAAGCCCTCTCTTCTCCAGGTTGAACACACTCCAACAATGCATTTGCAAATCCATTCTGACTAGCTTCAAAAGAAAGCATTATGAACAGGCACTAGCTTGCATTATTTATGGTTTTGGCTTTAGTTTTATTTAAGGGTTATCTGACATGTCTCTCCCTCTGGTTCCTTGTTTTTTCTAGGACTGGCTGAACTCTACTTTTGGCATGTGGCTATTGCTGGTTAAACCAGCATTATATCCTTCTGCAGCATTTATCCTGCAACCTTTATCACATCTTATACTAGCTGGCTCATCATCCTATGTGATAAGCATTCCCTCTTCCTAGTAAAGGACAATGTCCAAAACAAAAGATGATAGTCTTAAAATAATAAAATTAATAAAATAATAATTTAACAAAGCACAGCTATTGTCTGTGACTTTGCTTCTCTTAATTTAAGAACTGAGTCAATTCCATCACCAGGGTTTGACAAACAAGAGGAAAAGGAGAACAAAAATCAAAAGATGGATTGCTTTTATTTGCATCAAGTCTTATGCAAAGCTTTTTCCTTTAATTCTGTCTGTGTGGGAGGTGGAAAGATGATGGGAAGAGTTCTTTCTCAGACAGATATCCTGCATGTATAACACAGAAAAATGTTATGCAAACAAAAGAATTGCTTCCTTCCCAGATGTGCAGGGTGATACCAAAGTGGAGCTTGACCAGGACAGCAGAAAAGCTTTCATATAAAGCCATCATATGAGGTGCAAGATGCTACTTCCTGTAGAGCTGTTGCTTCTTAGCCCTATATAATATTTGCTAGATAGCCCACAATCCACAGGATTAAATTAGGGCTCTAAAATAAGGTTACCAAAATAAAAGATTTCTCATCAAAAAAATACTGTCATAAACAATCCTTCACAACTTAAGTACCGTGAGAGTCACCTGCTCTCTCTCAGCAACAGAAAAGTGCAGGAAAAAAACTAATAGTGTTTTTCTAACATATTGAACACTGTATTGTTGCACTACAAAATCAGTTACAGCTTGATGTAAACTTTCTCCCTTAGTTTTGTAAGGTTTTGGCAGAGGAAATTGATAATAGAAATACCAATATAAAGTAGCTGGTAACTTTGGTTGAGACACCCTGTCAGCCTCATGTGCCTAATTCCCATACAAGCAAGAATTAATTCATTCAGGGATGTGAACAACTATTGTTGATTAACGAAGTGTCCACTGTAAATACTTGCAGTGAAGAACCCGTCAAGTTTTTTTCAAGGTAGTACAATATTTTTAAAAAGTAATTTTGTCATTTGGCTGTCTCTTCCTGCTATAAAACTTCTTGTTTACCACTTTCAAATTTCAGTCTTTCTTATGACTTGTCAGAGAATTTTTACTGCTGCTCTGTGGTGAATATATAGAATGAAACTAGGTCACTTCAGTAACCTGGGGCTGTCTTTGCTCTGTCTCAGTGAACACTGTTGGTCCATGGTGAATGAATTATTTCTTTCCTTGACTGACAAGAGAAGAAATTATTTTAGGAAATTTTATGCCCATTTTAGACTGATTGCATATTAATATGTAGACCACTGAGGCTTTGAAGACCGGCGTAGAATACAGTGGGCATTGCTCAGTAAAGACTACCTGGGAGAGCCCCAGAAAGGTCAATCTTTACTCTACATTTGCATAATTTTTATGTGAGCAAAAGTAGACAGATCTCGAACCCAGGTTATCACAGAGGTGGAGACAGCACTTGGGTTCATCTCTCCTGACAATGAGCAGCGATATGACAGCCATTAGGAAGACAAGAGGAAGCAAATGGAATAAATTTTTATCTACAATGAGCTCTTTGCCCATGACACCCATGAATAATAATTTATATTCTGCATAGAAGAAATGATGGCACTCTGGGTCACAGAACTGACTTAATCTAGAAAACAATTATATTGTGTTCCCACAGGACTTCAGCATTGGACTGTAGCTGAAGTCAGCAGTTTAGGAAACAGCCTAATGTGAAAGGTGTATCGGTGACAGTGACTGCTATGAGCAAAGGTAGTCTTTTGCTATTCCTGACACTGGTTTCCTTCATGAAATCCCACACTGGGGCTTCAGTCCTTATTTTCAAAGTGCTTACATTCATAAGATGAATATGAAAGGTCTCAGCCAGACTTAAAATAAAATGTTCAGAGGGACTTTTTTTAGCACTTAGGCAAAACGTTAGTGCTCCCTCCAGTCTCCCATGGGAGATCTGTGCTGGAGCAGGCTCCTGGCAGAGACCTGCAGACCTGTGGAGAGAGGAGCCCACTCTGGAGCAGGTTTCCTGGTAGGACTTGTGACCCCAAAGGGGACCCACACTGGAGCAGGTGTCCTTGAAGGACTGCACCCCATGGAAGTGTGACCCACATTACAGCAGATTGAGGAGGACTGTGCCTGTGGGATGGGCTCACACTGGAGTAATTCATGGAGAACTGTCTTCTATGGGAGGGACCCCACAGTGGAGCAAGGAGAGGACTCCTCTCCCTGAGCAGTGAGAGTAACAAGGTGTGATGAACTGACCATGATCCCCATTCCCTGTCTCCCTGTGCCAATGGGAGGGCGGTAGAGCTGGGAAGGAAGGAGGGGTGGGGGGCAGGTGGTGTTTCTACGGTCCTGTTTTACTTCTCATTATCCTGCTCTGATTTTATTAGTAATACATTCAGTTCTTATCTCTACTTCAAGTCTGTTTTGCCTATGACAGTATTCAGTTAGTGATCTCTCTCTGTCCTTATCTGAACTCATGAACCCTTTGTTATACCTTCTCTCCCCTAGTCAGCTGTGGAGGGGATGAGATAGGGTGGCTTTGGTGGGTACCTGGCATCCAGACAGCATCATCCCACTACAATGGGCATCCTGCAAACACCGTGTGCTATGGATAACCCTTCCCAAATGTGACAGCTGTAAGGGCTGAAATGAGGCCCCTGTCTGGTCACAACTTGCTTACTCCAGTGGAGTTGTCACCAGTCCTTTCCAGCACCTTTTGTTTCTAAACAGTAACCACCAGGTCCATCTGAAATCAGAAAGAAATGGCCAGAGAGTGAAAAGAAGAGAATGGAAATTTTTATAAATTCAGGACTGTATCTCTCGCTGAGCTGAGACATCCCACACAGTTTTAGCACAAACAATTGAAGGCTTCCAAAATTTTTTCTTTGATTGCTCATTGCTGTAGTACACTACAATTTAGTTTGTTCAGTCATTACTAAAGCCATCCACCCACTTGCAGCTATTCTTATAGAAAATAGCATCCTTTCCCACTGATGCACATAATTTGTATCTTCTGATAATTGTACTTCTGATGTATGGAGAGAAGACAATAATAGACAAGGGATTCAACTTGATTTCTGACATACTGCTGAAAAAAAAGGCAATGGCTTTAGTTAATGTGTGCATACATTTTGCCTGAATTATAAAAAAGCAAATGGAAAGCTTCAATTGCACTATTCAGTAGTGTCAGTAGTGTTCTGAGTTCGTGAGTGACTGAAATGCCATTGAATGGACATGGATATGCAGTCACAGGCATAATGATTTTGCCTGTAAGTAACTTGCATCTTCTAAAAACTAAAATATCATGTCAGACTGTATAGATGCAGTTAAGAAGCCCAAACTGCAAAATAAAATGTGCTGTGAAATAATCTTAACAAATGTATTTTCTTGTTAAAGGGAACATTAGTTTCTGTTTGGTAATACTATAAGATTTCAAAAATTATGTGTTACTTACGCAGTTTAATCTGTTTATCAAAATAATGAAGCACAAATTAAAAAGAAAAAAAGACTTGTACAAGAATTTGGAATTCAGATGCTTAGAGAGAGAATGGGGAAACAAACATAGAGCTATAAATCACAGGAGCTGGGAGGCTTGGAAGAATTTTCTGTGAACTTCAGGAAATACCAGTGACTTTCACAAAGCAAATTAAAAATCTGAGGAGCTGAGATAAAGACCTTCAAAATGAAGCTCTAGAATTATGGAATTATGTATTTTAATATCTACCAATATCAACATAGAGTTCTTCTGTGTTCCATATTCAGCTGACACGGCTGATGATACAGGGAGCTGTGCCTCCCACCTCTCCACACAGCTGCCTGACCACCAGCTTGTGCCTTGCTTGGATGCTGCTCCTGGCAGAATGAGGAGGTGTGCCTGACACTGTGCTCACGTGTCAGCTGCATTGGAGTGACTCCAATTCCTGCAAGCAGCAGGTAGCTCCAGCCAGCCTGACTTCGTGTGTTTAAGTTTGAAGTGTACAGACCTCCTCCTCAGACCTGCCTTTGGCAACAGGGAAAAAAAGTTTCTCTAGAAAATCCTTTGCATCTGTACGTAGAAGGATATTTGTTTACACAGATATCAAGAAAAACGTATCCTGTTGTCAGTACATATAATTGCATACCCTTTCATTTATGCACATTCCATTAAGTAACATCATACACATCTTTTCTGTATCTGATATTGTCTTGTGATACTATGAGGGACTTTTCCTATGGAGTCCTCATGGAAGTCACATAGGTGGAAAGTACCAAATATGTTAAAATTATATGTAAAAAAAGAAGAAGGAAAGAAAAATTTTTGGTCACCTATTTGCATAAGTTAGTTTCTCTGCCTACCTTTACTATTTTACCTAAAGGGTATGGCTAACCCAAAATGAATATGTGGTACTTAGGCTGTGTTAATGTTATTTAAACATATTCTTGTGGAATGAAATTGAGTGTAATATAGCTAAGTAGTAAGAAATACACTGGACTATTAACACAATGAAGTTAGTATAAGTATATAGGATTAAGTAATCAGTATAAAATGCCTCAGGTATGCTTACAGTCATAACAAATGCATAGTTGCATTATTATACAAATGCCATGTGGCCATATCCTCTAAAACTGCATTTTAATGTAGAACCCAAAATGGACTTTTTGATGCTGTTTAGGCAATGGATATTAAAAAATATTCAAACTATATTGCTTGCACATGACAGTAGGGTACTACTTCTATATGTAGCTTTTTGATTGACTCTAATCACAGAGTTCTTGCTGTGGAGGCCATTTAAATGTACTTATTTCAAAGACATAGGGCAAAATTAGAAAAGTGCCAGAAGTTCTACAACTTAACACTGAATTTGCACTTTGTTATGAAAAAAATATAACACCATCTCTAACAGAACTGAAAAGCCATCTTGGAAAATATATCTTTTTTAACCTGGATCAGTTCTTTGGTAAGACTCGCTGAAGAGCAGCACAGAAGCTGTGTCAGCCCCAGGTTGGGGGCTCAGAGGTGACAGGGATGCTGCTTTGGTAGCACTGCCCATCTCTTCTGCCTTAAGGTGTTCATTTACCCACAGCTTGGGTGTGCAACTCCTTCGTGACCGGGGTCAGGCTAAGTTGGTGCTGGTCCAGTCCTACAGCATCTCCCTCCTGCCCTCAGCTGTGGGCTCTCACCTTTCTTTCCTTTAGCACAGGAATTTTACTCATCCCTTTTGTGAGCTAGTTGGGGTAGTAAAAGGAGCAGAGAACTGTACGTTTCTCTTACTGATTTAATTTTCTGTGAAGAGAGCCTTCCAAACTGACATATCAAAAGGTCGATATGAACACTATGGGTGGCAGCATGAGAGCAACACAAAGCTGTGGGTAGGATTGCAGCATCTGACCTGAGTTGTCTTAAATTGTCTTGGAAGTCGAACTGTTTCGTGGAAGTCAAGGCTTACAAAGATCAAGCTGCTGCAGTCCTGTGTTCATTTTCCTGGCTGCATGTTCCTGCATTTTCTTCCTGGAGGCATTGGCATACATGGAAATTGCATTGGTCCAGGGATCAGCTAAAAACTAGCTACTCTTTTTTGCTAAGTAAGGTTAATTTGCAAAAGGTCCAGCTCCTGAGCCAGCTTCTTTTCTGGTCCCATACACATCCAACTAGGCTTGTTTAAACTACCATGGAATTACATTTCAGGGTGATGTGGTTTATTCACTGAAAGATGATCTCTGTTGCATGAAAGAGCCTAGAAGTGAAAGCAGCCAGAGACAAGAGCTCTGCAATGTGTGAATTGCTCTATCCATCCTGCTGGGTGCTTTCTCTTCCCAGAGGCGGTGCCTGTGGGCCCCCGATAGTGTCCACTGAGCTTGAAGGATAACCCAGGAGAAGCTGTTCCCTGGTTTCCTGCTGAAACACGTGGAAGAGCACAAGTCAGCGTTCACAGCAGCACCTCCCAGCCCGTCCCTGCCTTTCCAGGCTCTCACCCCAGTCTCTGGCACATCCGTGCTGTCATCCACCCAGCAACGTGACAGGAAAAGGGGAGGTTTTGTTGTCCTGGGAGGGAAAGTGTTCTGTGACCTGTGTACCTTCTTACAGACTGCAGGCACGGCTGTGTTTCTGACTCACTGTCCCTAGGCAAAAAAATTAGACGCACTCTTGAGCATACAAGTGCTGACAGCTACAAATAAGGCAGATTTTTCTAAAAAATCTGTCATGTGAGCAATGTGGCTTCCAGGTACCGTGAGGCTTCCTTTTAAAAAGTGCCAATGGATATGCATAAACATGCTTATGCTAAACATACATAAATAAATTGCATATACAGTGAGTTAACGGTAAATAAGCACAAAACAGAAAGGAAAGAAAAGGAAAGGGAAATGTGTATTGCTGGTACAAAATAATGGTGTGAAGTGAATCTGATATCTTTGTGTGTTTCTAAGGGATCTAAGCATTTTGCTGGAAAAGCATATAAGATATACTGAATTTTAAGGGAAAATATTTTCTTTGTATTTACTGCTTCATACATACTAAACCAGTTTCCCCTCAAGTGGTTTTATTTGTAAATTCATAGTTATAATTTCCATAGAGTTACTCTGAAAAAAAGTACAAGACACAGTAAGAATAATTAAATTAAAATACAGTAATTTTTACAGGAAATACAGTGAAATAATACCTGCAATTGCCTTATAAGCTACCCAGTCTCACAGACTGTATTTAGAATATAAATAACACTGAAATTACAAATGTGGGAGTATCAGACTTTATCTTTTTTCAAAACATATTCCCCGGGGAAGGCATGTGCTGCTCTTCTGCTCTTCACAGCCAGGGATGCCTGTACTTAAACCCATTAATTGGTGCTGTAATGAGACTCTGATGAAGAGCCTGGGGGCTTCAGAAGGAAGCACTTGTTTTGTTTTCAGGGAAATTTTCTCAGAAAGTCTGTGTCGACCCAGAAAAAAAAGGTAATTGCATATTTGCATTTTTACATCTGCAAATATGTAAGTAGGAACCTGTTTTGTCTACCCATACTGTGTTATGTGTGACAGCTGTGACATAGGTGTGTATGTATCCTGTGTGTGCCATGATCTCTTTCACCAATTCTAGGCTGGCAGTTGAGAAATGCCCGGTGACTGAGGTGACTGAGGGCCAAAGACGAAAAGGGATAGAGGACTGACCCAGTAAGAACAAGACTGTAGTTTTTAACAGGTATTTAACACGCTTGTTATTATTTTTGAGGCATACTTTTTTTTCTTTGTTGTTAATTCCAGTTAGGGTGCCCACTGCTTAGGTTTGTGCTAATAGCTTAGGCTCTTGGTCAAGGCACTACAAACACAGACAAACATTCTCTTTTCCAACTGCTGCTGCTGGAGCAGCATTCCCTGGCACAGGGACAGTGCAGTGCAGAGCAGAGGCTTTGGATCTCCCTGCAAGATTTGCCAGAGGGCAGCTGTCAGAGCCCAAAGAGGTAACAGCTGCACAGGGCAGGGTGGAAAATTTTGAAAGAGCGAGTACTGATAAGGAAAGAAGACAACAATTTTTATTTGCCTAGGGCAGCAAAAAACCTTGCATCAGCTCTACTCAGTTTTGTTACAGATTTTATTCTGGTTTTGTTCAGTTTTCCTAGGCAATGTTGTGATGTGCATTTGCATTGCATCTGCTCACTTTATTCAGTTTATTGAAAGTATTCTAAGCAGAATATATTTTAGAGTTGCTTTTCAGAATGTAAATTACATCAACCTCATGAATAGCCTCTGGAAGAGTTCTGCACCCAAAAGGCCACATAAACTGGTGCTTAGCAGTTTGAAGGCAATATTTAGAGAAATGAAAAAGGTCACTGGTGTTAAAACATGTACTAGGAAAGAGAATGAAACAGATTTTTAAAAAGTTGCCATTGTGTACTGAGGGAAAGGTACATATCTGAAGATTGTCATCATTCAGTGGGAAGGTTTGACAAAAGC